ATGTAGGACCTCCCTTCCACCACCACCACCCCGTGATCTTCTCTCTTGATCAAAAATGAATTGCTCTTAAGCAGATTTCAAATTCTTTAAAAAGGGGGGAAAGAATGGACTGCTGGAGTTCATGGAGAAATTGGTTAAAGAGGATCTCTTCCTTTATGTATGCGCTGTGATTATATGTATGCGCTTGTGATTATTATTATCACAAATGATTTATGGCAATCCCAGCAAGAGGCTTTCAAGGCAAGTGAGAAGCAGAGGTGGTTTCCCATGGCCTTTTTCGGCAGAGTTTTCCTTGGTGGTCTCCCATTAGGGTTCCCAGGTCTTACCTGGCTACTGGTGGGGGGATCCAGTCTTGCTCTGGGAGTCTTCTGGTGGAGGTGACATCATCGCGCCGGACATGTCGGGTGGGACACTCTAGCAAAACTCTAACCATAGAGTTTTTTCCCAAACGCTAGAGCATTCCCCACACGACATGCCCAGCACAACAATGTCATCTCTAGGTGACGTTGTTGCACTGGGCACATCAGGCAGGACAGGGCTCTTTGGGGGTGGGGTTCTCCCCCCCCCCCGGCCAGCTGGCCGATGGCGGATTGCAGCCCCTGAAATCAGGGGAAACCCCTCCCCATTGGGGGTATGGCAACCCTATCTCCCATCCAAGTACCAACCCCGCTTAGCCTCTGAGATCAGATGAAATCAGGCTATACCATATCATTCCGCACCCCATTCCACATCCCAGTTCCTCTTAACAACACCACCAAAACCCGAACAAAGGACTCAAATGCAAAAGAGCCATCCACGGCTTTTTTTCCTCTATCACCAGCATTCAGTATCACGTCTCTTTCCAACCCACAGCTCACACACAGATGGTGTCTTCCTGGGGCACGGGGGTGATTCCCAGGGACCCTCCCCTCTTTTGTGGTGTCGCCGAGGCCTTTAAACATTGATTGTGTTTTTTGCACACCTGGCATTCCGACACAAGTGGCCTTCTTGCCCTTCAGATGGGAGGATGTGTCAAAACAGAAAGCCAGAAGAACAAAACACAAGTGTTGATCAAAGCCAAGGCGAGGAATCAAGAAGGGGGGGGGGGGATAACTCATGCATTTCCTGAAAGCTATAATTAACCACGCAGCTTAAATGAAATAATAAGTACATGATTATTCAGCCTCACCCTGAGGCAGACCTGGAGCACAAAAACATGGCACAGTCTCTTCCTGCCAATTGATCCAATAAATCAAATGGGTTGCATCCTCACAAGAATACTGTGATTATCATTCCTGGAACCTGACCCCGGAGCAAGCAGCTCCTTCACAAACAAGCAGGTGTCTCGTAACAGACATCTGTCTCTGCAACAACCAGCACGCAACCCATTTTGGGTCACATGGCTCCACTAAGTACCATGAAACAAAAGTTAAAGAAAATAGAAATCAGGATTTGGTGCCAGAACTGTGCAGAAGAGCTATGATGAGTGTCAGCAACCTGTATGAATTAAGAGCCAAACGATGTAAAGTTAAGGTGGGTAGCCGTGTTCGTCTGAAACGGCAGAACAAAGTTTGAGTCCAGTGGCACCTTTAAGAACAACAAAGTTTTAGAGCTAGTGCAAGAGAGTCCTTTTGCATAGTGGAAACTATACAATTTAATGCTACAGATGATTGACATCTCCATTCATAATCCATAAAATATCAGCAGCCCAAACACCATTTGTTCCAAGTCCTTTGCTAGATCCAATAAGCCATAAGTATACACAGGACTACCCTGCACAATTCCTGGGGTGCACGGGCATCATTCTGCGCATAGCTCACAGTGGAATTACTCGCAACGGATCACCTCTCATCATTTCCCTTTCAGTAAAGTATCTCTAAGAAGCTCTTTAGTCCCAGCATAATCCTTGCCTGACATTCTCTTCACATAGTGCTTATTCTAGCTTCCCACCGGCCCCTCCAAAATACCTTAACTGAAGGATTTTCTTTTTCAGAGAGCTGCATCTGGTTCCATTTTGGGCCACGTTTGGCTTGGGAGGCACCGAGTTCCGACCCCCAGATCTACGACTTCACCAGCTGCTCTCTCTGACGCCGCGCAGCCCCAAGACTTAACTGGTTTGACCCCCTCATTTCATGCTTCTCAGAAAGTACACAGGTCGGAATAGGATCGCAAGAGTGTCAGACTCCCATCGCATCAACGAAGTACACACTTGTAGGAAAAGGTTTTACTTTATTTGAAGCAATAGGTGCATAACAGGATCACTGTTCAGAATGAGGCATAAGCATGGATCCCAATAAAGGTAAAGGTAAAGGTTCCCTTGCTCGAAAGCCAGTCAAATCCGACTCTAGGGTTGCGGTGCTCATCTCCGTTTCAAAGCCGAAGATCCAGCACTGTCTGAAGACGTTTCCGTGGTCATGTGGCCGGCATGACTAAACACCAAGGCGCACGGAACACTGTTACCTTCCCACCGAAGTGGTACCTATTTATCTACTTGCAATTTCTTGCTTTCGAACTGCTAGGTTGGCAGGAGTTGGAACTAGAGACGGGAGCTCACTCCGTCATGCGGCACCCGGGTCTTGAACTGCTGAACTACTGACCTTCCACAGCCTGTAGTTCAGCGTCTTAACCACTTGAGCCACCGCAGTTCCATGGATCCCAATAGATTATAGTAAATTCAAAAAGCTGAGGCCCAATTGCGGGACTTCCCGCACGTGCCATTGAGCCTGGGAAGCAACGCTCCTACTTACTCATAACATACTGCTTCTCATGGATAGTGCCATGAGATCACCCAAGCTACTACCCACCAGCAACCACCTGTGGCCTTGAGAGATACGGACGTTCCTGCAACTAGGCAATTAAGTGCATAAACAGGCATACATGGGAAAGCGAAAGGAAACAAGCACATACACAGAGAATACGGAAACATATTGGCAGCTTGCTGACAAAGAGATGGGGAGAAAACAGTGAGAAGAGATGGGGCTGTTTCTTAGGGGAATTCTAGGGCAACGACTCAGTCCTAGGGCGTGGTTGGGAGGCACAGGACAACCACGCTAAGCTGTGGCCTCATGCCTGGATACAGTTTCAGCAAAGAACCTCCTCTCCTCCTTAGGGTTGCTGGCTCTGGGTTGGGCAATTCCCGGAGATTTGGGGGTCAAATCTTGTGGCCAGTATTCCCTCTGAGCTGAGTTAGTGTGAGCCAGCTCACGGTTTTTTAGCCTCCAGCTCACACATTTTTGTCTTAGCCAGGAGTCATTTAGTAGAAAAAGAGGTGCAGGAGCTCATTAGCATAACTCATTAGCATAACTCATTTGCCTATGCCACACCCCCTGACATCACCGGAAGTGTGTCAGGAGGCAACACCCACCGCTCAGGCTCCACTGGACTGTTTTGGATTGCTAGCTATTGGTGGGGGGGGGGGAAGGTGCAGATCTGTCCTCGCAGAGGAGGGAGAGCTTGTACCTGAATAAACCTTGGTCTTAAAGGTGCCACTGGACTGTTTTGGACTGGGTGGCCGGAGGGGGAGCTCTGCAACTTACCTGGCTGCTTCTTGCTCTGACTGAGGGCTGCTGGGAGCAGGGGGTGGGGCTTGTTGCATGTGCTTGCCCCCTGGGCTCTTTACTGCCGGAGCTCCGCTCCTGCAGGAAATGACCCCTGGTCTTAGCTCAGGAAGGGATGGCTCCAGAGCAAACTAACTTATGCAGCAGCCAAATCGCTCGCTCACAACTTTAAGGCCAGGAGCTCACAAGGTAGAATTTTTGCTCACAAGACGCCACAGCTTAGAGGGAGCGTTGGTGGAGACTCTTCAGGGAAGGGAGGGGCCTCAGAAGGGTTTAATGACACACAGTCCGCCCTCCAGAGCAGGCGTTTTCTCCAGGGGAAATTGTAGCCTGAAGATGAGTATTGCTGGAACCTTATCAATTGATTTTGCCATCTTTTAAATGGTTTGAAGTAATTTATTGTGATAATCTGGTTTTAATGGCACTGTAAAATATTTTGTTGTTACCCGCCCTGAGCCTGCTTGCAGGGAGGGCAGGATATAAATCAATCAATCAAATAAATAAATAAAATTCCAGGAGATTTCCAGGCCCCACCTGGAGGTTGGCAGCCCTACCCCTCCTGGTTGCTACTGATGAGGCCTTCATAGCAGGCTTCACACCGGGACTAAAGCCTTTCTCAGAGACACACACACACCCTTCCTGGACAGCAATTTTAGTGGCCAAAGTGTTGGACTAGCAGCTGGGAGACTCAGGTTCGAATCCCCACTCTGCCATGGAAGTTTGTTTGGTGACCTCGGGCCAGTCACTCTTTCTCTCGGTCTAAACTGCCTCCCAGGGCTGTTGTGAGGATAAAATGGAAGAGAGATGAGCAATGCTGTAAGCTGCCTTGTGTCTCCACCAGGAAGAAAAGCTGGGTATAAGCAGGGCTCTTTTTGTAGAAAAAGCCCAGCAGGAACTCATTAGCATAATAGGCCACACCCAACAGCAGAAACTCATTAGCTTATTAGGCCACACCCCTGACAGCATGGCTCATTAGCACATTAGGCCGCACCCCCATGTTACCAAAAGTGTGGTCATCCAGCCACACCCACCTTTTGCTTCTTATTCTATTGACCTTGTTTGTCGTCAAAACCCAGGGGGTTTTTTGTAGCAGGAACTCCTTTGCATGTTAGGCCACACTCCCCTAATGTAGCCAATCCTAATGAGTTTCTGCTGTTGGGTGTGGCCTATTATGCCAATGAGTTCCTGCTGGGTGTGGCCAACTCAGGAGCCAGCCGGAACTCCGTTCCTGTGCGTTCCTGCCCAATAATAGCCCTGGACTATCTAAAACAAATAAGTGAGATTGGTACCTGTATTTCTCTGTGTTTGTATGTTAAGCGGCTTTGGGAGGCAATTTCTGACTGACAAGCAGAGTCAAAATCAATCAGTCAATCACTGTCACTCACATGGAGCCTTTTCACCGAAGCGAGCAGTCCCCCTGGGTAAACTGACCAGCTCTGAAGGAACTGGCGAGTGGCGACTTACGGAATTTCTCCAGGTCATCGCTGCTTCCTGACACTGGCATGGCCGTGATGGTGAGCAGAGGGCAAGGGTTCCCCCCCAGAGTCTGGCACAGGGTCTGCTCCTGAAAGAAGGTTTTCTTCGGGTTCCGGGTTTGTTCCAGGATGTGAAGTTGAGACTGTGAAAGAAAGCAGGGAAAAAACCCACAAGATATTAAGGAAAGCCCCACTGGAGGAGAGCCAAAACTTCTACTCAGACATAAGTCCCATTTTATGCAATGATGCTTACTCCTGGGAAAGTGTTCTTAGGATTGCAGCCTAAAGTTTGCATAGCCACATAAGGTCCTCACAGGGTGAGGAATAGTATGGCACAGCCTGATCTCATCAGGTCTTGGAAAGTGAAGCAGGGTCAGTGTTGTCCAAAGGTCATCTGGAGATCAACTGTAATTCCAGCTAATCTCCAGACCCCGCCTGGTGTTTGGCTACTAGAACCCAAGCCGAGGATTAGTCTACTGCACCAGCCCAAAGTAACAAAAAGGAAGCTCCAGTGATTCATTCTATTTTTGACAGAATCAGCCAAGTTTCAAGCCTGCCCAGGTCCCAGAATTCTTTCAGTCCGAAGTTGGCAACCCTCAAATCCCCTGTCCTTCTGCATGCAACCGTGCAGCATAAACCTATTAATACTTTTTTTTTTTTTTAAAAGCATCCTCCTGGAATAAATACTATTCCCCCCAAAGCAACTCTGCTTCGGTATGCTGCCCTTAGTCGTGGTCTCCTCCATGGGCATAGACCTGCCACAAATATGCTTGCAGTTATTAAATGAACATCAGATTGTGACCAGTATTTCCAAGTCACTGTTACCATATGGGATTTTATCATCTTTTTCAAAAGCATTCTACAGGTAATTGAGCCCTTGGGTTGCTAAATCACTTTGAATTCATTACCGGTCTGAAGGGGGGAGGGGAGCCCGCTACATTTTGCACAGACATATGTTGGAAAATAAAACCTAATGACGCACAGGCCTGAGTTGGATTTTGTTCATCAGCCCAGTCTGCACAAATGGAATTGTTTTCCCATGGCAAAAAGTTAAGACGCTCCAATAGGAAGTTCGGAGTTCTTTTCTCTGACCTGGTCAAAGTCATCACCGGAAAATGTCCATAGCAATCATGACTTGGCTATCATTGGGGAATGAGTAACTCTCCATACTGATATATATATAAGTTTTCTAAGGCTGTACTGGAGTGGGTGGGGGGATACAGAGGGGGTAATGGCTTTTTCTAAGGAGAAAATGGCAGGAGACGAAAGAGTTAAAGCCCTCTCCCTCCCCTCCACCAATTCTCCTCCTTGATAAAGCTATCCTGAGGATGCACTTGCAAAGGAGACAAACTTTTAAAATAAAAATAGAAGAAACAGTGACATGTAGCTCAGTCCCCTCTTGGGGTGGCCACAAACTGGGAGAATGCAGGTCAGTTTGGTTTGTGGTTCGTGGCATGCCCCTATTCGCAAACCAAAAACTGTCACAAACTTTTAGAGGGTAAATGAATTGGTTCCGTTTGTGACTCTACAGGATGGATTCTGTGCAAGCGAGATATACCAAACTCACAGGGGGGTCTCCGGCTGACTCTCCTCTACCTGCCCTCCAAGTTTGGTGAGGATTGGATTTACGAGGTCCAAGTTGCAGCCCGTCAAAAAAACGCCACCAGGAAAGTGATTTCTGGGGAAATTATTAATGACAGGGTGTGCTGCCTGAAGCCTGCAAAACCTCTTGTGCATGTGGATGCCCACAAATGTGAGGAGGGGACCATGTGTGTGAGGAGGAGATGCCTCCAGCTCGCAAAGCTGCTGCTGTACACTGAAATCGGAATTGCCACCAAATTCCCTACTTGATTTCAATCCAGCCACGCCTCGTCAATTATTTTCTCTTCCTCGTCCTCCTCCTCTCACAACCAAATGGAACCGAATGTAAGTGGAGGGGGGAAGAAATTTCTCTGGAGCTAGGGATGAGAAAACAGAGGGAAACAGATTGACAAGCCGAGAAGCCAATCATAACGAAGCTATGATATGAGGACCCAATGGAGAGGCGGCATGCACGGGCATGGCAAATCATGTTAGAGGGAGGGAGAGGGGAGTGCCTGGAAGAGAGAGGTGGGTGCCTTGTCACCTTTCCAGTGTTCAGTAGTGGCTGCGGTTAGAGAGGGAAGCTGGGTCTCTCCTCCTTGGAGGGGAGTAAGGAGGAAGGACAGAGAAGGAGGAGATCTTGAGGATATTCATCCAGCATGTCCAGGCTATGAAGGAACCATAAGCTGGGCTTCCTAAACTCCCTCCCACCCATTCCGGTGGCCACCCCTCTCCCACCCCTCCTGATCAGCCACAGTAACTTTGCCCACGTGAAACCGGGGGGGCATCAACACCAGGGGGTGGCATCCTCCCAGAGGGGGCTGGGCACATCTGCGGTGACATGGCTCTCTTGCCCCTGGGTAGTTCCTTCTCACTTCCTTCTCACCGCACCTCGCCTTCCAATCTGCAAAGGCAGTGATTTGGTAAATCAAAGCAGGAGGTTCAGGAGTGTATAGAACGGATCCCGTGCAAGCTAGAGACATCAGAGTCACAGGGGACCTCCCATGGATGCTCTTCTACTTGCCCACTGAGTTCTCCCCCCCCCACTGCTTTGAAGTTGTATAAACATTTAGTTTGAGCGGAGACAGTCTGACTGGAAATATATCTGTTCACAAACGGGCACGAACCTCCACAAACGGCTTGAAAGTTCATGGAAAGTTTGTGCTGGTTGATTTGCCATGAACTTCACTTCATGAACCACGAATTGGCCAAAATTCATCACAGACTTTAGTTCATGAGCCAGTTCGTGCCCATCCCTAGTTCTCTCTCTTGATTGAACTCATATGACCTTAGAGATGTCACCACATAACCAAATATGACTGGCTGTGTCTGGCATTAGAGAAGTCTTATTTTCCGAACGATTCTCACTGATTGATGAGCAATCCAGGAAGAGATGCCACCACCATCAGTCGTGTTTTATTTGACATTATTAGTGACATCACTGCCTTACCAATCTGATTTGCTACAAAGTAGAGTGAAGACGTATTAACCAAAGGAAACAAGCTTTTAGAAGGTAGATGAATCATCAGGCAGGGTCTATTCCTGACTATTTTCAGGGTCTATTTCTGCCTATCCACCACTAGAAAAGAACATTTTGCACTGACCTATTGTTTTGACCATGACCCCCCAAAAAGCCAGCAACCTCCCCCTCTTGATCTTAGAGAATAGCTAGCACCCTTCCAACTTCTCCTTCCATTTTTTGTAAAATGTGTGTAGCAATTTCCAAAACCAGCTTTATAAAAACGAGAGCCGAGTTCCTGTCACATCCACTGCAAAAAGAGTACAGTGTAAATACAGAGATGAGTCATTTTATTCCGGCAGATGTGGGCTTCTAGTGCTGGCATTTTAATAACTGCGACTAGCAGTTCAGTGGGCTGCTAAGCAGAAGTTGTATAAAGGGGATTTCACCAGCTGTGGCTTTTAGCTTTGCGTGTGGATGCAAGAAAAGCAGCACCTCTGATGATTCCTGCAATTATTAAAAGTATAGGAGGACCCCATTCACAATTTGGACCTGGCTTGTTTGCCCAGTTTACTTCCAGGATAATTCAAGGTGTAAAGGTTTTGCTCTTCTCCAGACTGCAGGTCGGGAGTTTCACGTTTAAATGCTCTTCCCACTCTCTCCCTCAAACTCATATACAATCCGGCTGCACCCACAACAGCAGCACATCAGAGAAAAAGTGAAGATGGAAAATTAGTGCGACAAGCAGGGCTATTTTGGGGCAGGAACGCACAGGAACGGAGTTACGGCTGGCTTCAGAGTTGGCCACGCCCACTACAGCCAAAACCTCTGTGTGCGTGGCTACAGAGGGAAGGCCTGGAGACTGACCCCCCCCGGTGACTCCGAGGCGGGGGGACCGGGGGGGCCTGGAAGAATCAGGGAGGCATTTAAATGCCTCCCTGTGGCTTCCCTGGCCTGGCTGAGGACCGGCTTGCCCGGGCTCCCCGCAGCCACGGGTGCCTGGTCAAGCCAAGGGAAGGCAGTTTATACTCTTGCACCCAGGCAAGCCACGGGAAGACACGGGGTGTGGCCTAATATGCTAATAAGAAGTGCTGTCAGGGGTGTGGCATAATATGCTAATGAGTTTCTGCTGTTGGGTGTGGCCTGTTATGCTAATGAGTTCCTGCTGGGCTTTTTCTACAAAAAAAGCCCTGGCGACAAGCAATCTGAGCAAATCTGATCAGAATGGCCGGGGAGAACTCCTATTAAAGGGAAACTTGGAAGCATCCCTTGGAGGTGACCGTTCAAATACTCCCATAGGAGTATCCAGAGCTTGTGCCGAGAACGATTAAAAGGAAAGTTCCACATGCACCCACTCACTCCTAGCCCTTGGAAAGACTCATAAGAATAAACCAGTTTTACCATCATGCCTGAGTAGGTATAAGGGTAGTGGTAGGCCAGGTAGCAGACATCGTCCTTATGGGGGAACACGACGGTGAAAGTGAGGGTATAGCACGATTTCCCACTGGTGCCTGCTGCAGCAGCAGCCGCCGTACAACGCTGGTAGTGATTTCTGGCAGAAGAAGAAGAAGAAGAAAAAGACGTGAGAGACAAAGAGCATCACCTGGATTTTGTGGATGCTGTCATGAGAAACCAGTGAGAAACATACATGCATTAGATCAGGGTCCCCGACCTGGTTGAGGCTGTGGGCACTTGGGGAATTCTGAGACCATTAGTGGGCACCACAAAAAAAACGGCCACCGTGGGAATTATGTCCAATCATAAAGCATTAGGAGGTTCCAGAAATGTTGGGAGATTCCAGGCCAAGCAACCTACTATGATAGAGGCAGCTGTTTCCAAATCAGCGCTCCCTGCAGACCAAAAGCAATGCCTGCTGGGATCTTCTGAAGCCCCTCCTACTCCAGTGAAGTAGAGGAAAGCCAGGGTTGGCTCTTTGCTTTGGGGGAAAAGACATTTCTTCAAAGGAGTAAATCTTTGCCAGGAAAGGCAATGTTGGGCTACGCGGCATTCCAGCTCACCTTGCTAAGGATCACTGTCTTAGATGCAGAAGTCAGGGGATATTCCAAATTCAAAGCAATCATGTCCGATTCAAAATTATAACGTCCATTCATTTAAGAAGTCTGCAACATTTCACAAGCATGCCAGCAACACTACGAAGTCCACAGGCTTAGGTGGGTGTAACCCTGCTTAGGATTGTACTGTAACAGTGTTATCCGAGGACAGGGTTGCCAGCCTCCAGGCAGGGCCTGGGGATCTCCCAGAATTACAACTGATCTCCAGATAGGGTTGCCAGGTCTGTCCTGGCAACCAGCAGGGGATGGGTGGGGGACTTACGAGAACAAAGAGAAAGGCCTAGGGATCAGGGCTCTTTTTGTAGCAGGAACTCCTTTGCATATTAGGCGACACACCCCTAATGTAGCCAATCCTCCAAGAGCTTACAGTAGCCCCTGTAAGAAGAGCTCTGTAAGCTCTTGGAGGATTGGCTACATTAGGGGTGTGTCACCTAATATGCAAAGGAGTTCCTGCTACAATGTAACTAATCCTCCAAGAGCTTACAGTAGCCCCTGTAAGAAGAGCTCTGTAAGCTCTTGGAGGATTGGCTACATTAGGGGTGTGTCACCTAATATGCAAAGGAGTTCTTGCTACAAAAAGAGCCCTGCCTAGGGTTGCCAGATGACATCACGTTGGGGGCATCCTGGCTCCAAGCCCCGTACCACAGGGTTCCCTTTAAGTGCAGGGAGCCGGAGGGCCCCTCGCGCCCGATCTCCAAGCAGCAATGCTGCTCAGAGATTGGGCCTGGGGCCCGCAGCTGCCCCTCTCCCTCTACCTCAATGCCAACGCTGGTATTGCACAGGTATACTGTGGCTTGGGGGCTTGGGGTGGGTTGAACCTCCCCAAAAGCGGGTAACTCCCGCCAATCCAGGGGGTCTGGCAACCCTATCTAGGCCTCATCACCAGCGTCACACATAAACTGACATCATCACACCAGCAACATCCAGGTGACAATCTGGTATTTGGGCAAAACCTCCATGGTAAAACTGGCTTCTAACGTGGAGTTTCTGAGCAAATACTGGAGCGTTACCCAGACATACACTGGGTATCAAGGCCAAGGCTTTCTTCTTTCTTGGTAAGGCCCCCCGCAGGCAAGTGGAGGCTCAACGTAGGGCCTGGGGGGGGGATCCCTGCCTAGGGATGCCAACCTCCAGGCGGGACCTGGGGATCCCCAGGAAATTACAGCTCATCTCCAGACTCCAGAGATCAATTCCCCTGGAGAAAATGGGTAGACTATATGCTCTTTGAATGGTAGACTCCATAGCTTTGTACCCCACTGAGGCCCCTGTCCTCCCCAGGCTCCATCTCCCGATCTCTAGCAGTTTCCCAACCTAGCTCTGGCAACGCTAGCCTCCCATCTCCTGCCGGGGGACAAGGGGGAGTCTGGCAACCCTGCCTCCAGACAACAGAGATCAGTTCCTCTGGAGAAGATGGCAGCTTTGGAGAGTGGACTCTCTGGCAATTTACCCTCTTGAGGCCCCTCCCCTCCCCAAACCCCACCCTCCCCAAACTCTGCTCCCAAAGCTCCGGGAACTTTTACCCCAGAGTGGGCAACCCTATCCTAAGAAGAGTTACACCCTCCTATGTCCATTGTATTCAATAGGGTAAGAAGGGTTCAACTCTACTTTGAATGCCACTGTAAATGTAGCACACTAGTACATCACGGCAGCAATATTGCACCTGCTAGCTTGCTACACACAGGGAAAGTGTGTGTGTGTGTGTGTGTGTGTGTGTGTCCCCAGCATATGAGTTTGGTGTGTTTTCTTAAATCAGATCCTTCAGGCTTGCAGCCTGAAAAGGAGCCATCCTAAATTCTGTCACTTCAGCTTACCTAACTCAGGCCCCGGTCACACAGGCCGGATATTGCGGGGGGGAGGCGTGGCTAATTGCCCCGGCGCAGTTTGATCCGCGATTACGCGGCACACCACGAGTCCTTCCCTCAGCGCCGGCGGGTAAACGAGGGTGGCGATCACACGACGATCCTGCAGCACGGCAAAGAAGCGGCGCGGCGCAATAACACTAGCAATAGCTAGGCGCCGCTGCCGTGGTAAACGGGGTCATTTATTTTCTTTTAAGCCGAAGGACGGAGGAATGGAACTTTTGGTTTCGCGTTCAACGGCATGTGTGATTCTGCGCAGCAACGGAACTTTCACTTTCCTCTTTGTGCGCATGCGCCGTTGGCTGCTTGTGCGCATCCTGTGGAGACTTGGGGGGGAAAACCTTTTCGCGACGGGACATGGGCGGGTGCTGGATGCCATGAGCTACCACCGGAAACGTGATCAGACGCCCGCCCTTGCCCCGCGGTTTCCGGAAACTAGTACCTCGGAGGTACTAGTTTTTTACGGCGCATCTTCGGCGGGAAGCCTCAGGTTAGCCACGGGAGCTCTACACTTCCCAGATGTTGTGTTTTGATCGTGCCCAGAAAATCCGCCTATCTTCCGTCTCTGTAGCGTGGCTAATGCTCCGTGTAACCGCAGCCTCAGACATGATTTACATGTGATGCTGGTATTGCACAGGTATACCCTCCTGCCCTGTCAATGCCATGTTTACATCAGGCCCCAGGCTTCACTGACACAAGCCGCCATGGGATGAGGGGATATGATCATAGATCACAAGACCACAGGCAAGGAGTGCCATTTCTAAGTTTCTCTGTGTAAAGAAAAACAAAACAAAATCCCAGCAAATAAAGCATTAAAACACATCGAGAAGAAAGGAACTGGTCCGGGTGGTGGTATACTACTAGTCAGCTCCAGTGCTAGTTTATTACATGCAAGGGGTCTTTTACACCAACAAATGGCCACAAATGGTGCTTCCCACCCACCCCAGTTGCAGCCTAAATCAGTACAGTCCCTTTCACCTCCTCAGAATTCTACCACCTCATTTGGCAGACTGCAAGAATGGCCATGGTTCAGTGGCAGAGCTTTGCACGCAGAAGGTCCCAGGTTCAGTTCCCAGCATTTCCTGTTAATTGACCTCAAGTAACTTCACCCTGGAGCTGCGGTGGCTCAAGTGGTTAAGACGCTGAACTGCAGGCTGTGGAAGGTCAGTAGTTCAGCAGTTCAAGACCCGGGTGCCGCAAGATAGGGTGAGTTCCTGTCTCTAGTTCCAGCTCCTGCCAACCTAGCAGTTCGAAAGCAAGACATTGCAAGTAGATAAATAGGGACCACTTTGGTGGGAAGGGAACAGCGTTCCGTGCGCCTTGGTGTTTCGTCATGCCGGCCACATGACCACGGAAACGTCTTCGGACAGCGCTGGCTCTTCGGCTTTGAAACGGAGATGAGCACCGCAACCCTAGAGCCGGATTCGACTGGCTTTCGAGCAAGGGAACCTTTACCTTTACCTAACTTCACCTTTGCTTTGTCAGAGAACGACTGCCAATCAGCGTAGGCAATTCTGAGGTAGACAGACAGTATGAAACAGCCCCAGGTTCACCTTCTAGGCCGTCATCTTCCAATGACTTGAGCCCCATTGTAGTAAAAGAAAGGGGGGGTTACCTGACTTTCCCTCCTCTGTCCCCATATGATCTTTTTGCAATGTATTTTTTTAAAGAGTCAGCTTCAAGGCTGATGGGGGAAGAGATTTCCCCTCGGCTGAGACGAAGAGCCAATTCCCTCATTTTCGGAGAGACCATCTCTCAGCAAATTGCACCCAGACGTACATTTCAGACAATAATTTTCCCCACCTAGCACCAATTATTCTGTTGCTGAACCATCCTGTTCTAAAGGGCCGCGTGGCACATCCCCCCACCCACCCTTGACAAATGTTGTCATCAGCATTACATTAAAATGCAAAATACAGAAAGCAACCAAAAGATGCAATTTCAGCTGCTGGAATTTACACAACCCCCTTATTTCCCCAGTGGTTTTTTTTATTTATTTATTCAGGGGGGCATAGCTGGAAGATAATTATTCTCATCAAATCCCACAGAAATAATCATCTCTTCATTTGTGAGTGATGCACAGCAGCCGTTTGTGTCTCCTTTCTGTACATCTGAATAAAGTGGATAAAAATATGGGCAAAACGAAAAACAATCCCTGGAAGTCATCCCTGGAAGCCACGATGACCTGGAAGGGAAGCTGTTTCTCCTGTCCCGGAAGACTAAGAGCTAGTCCTGTGGGCACCATGGTCACATATTAATCACTCTGCACATGTGCAGATTGCTTCCCTCATCACTGCGCAGCAAAAAATAACATTAAAAATGCAGTCAAAAGAATAGATGTAAAGCCCCGTAAACGCTGAAAAGCTTATGTAAGTATATTATTTTTAATAAGGTAATGCACCTAAAATATAATATAAAGAAAATAATGAGGGAAGCACCTGTGCATGTGCAAAATGATAATAGGTGAGTAGGAATGTAAGGGCTGTTAAGTCACATCCATCTTACGGTGACCCCAGCAAGGGGCTTTCCAGGCAAGAGACATACAGAGGTGGTTTGCCACTCCCCTCCTCTGCAGAGTTTTCCTTGACGGTCACCCATCCAGGTACCCGACCCTGCGTAGC